CGCAACTGCTTCTCTCCATCCCGAACGATGCTTCTGCATGCGCACGCCCATCATGCCTGGGGGAACAGAGGGAACGAGATGCCCTCTTAAATCCATGGCTGTGATGTCATTTTTATACCACCCCAAAGCTGAAGCTTTCTGCTCCATCTGCACTTGCAGATAATTAGAGTCGTTTGCTCCATTGCTTATTCATTGACATAATCAGAGGGGGGGGGGTGGGGCGGGGGGGGGTTACAAGCGTTTCATTCCACGTATACAAGCTCCCTTCCCCATAATAAAAGTTCTGCAGATCTGCAGGATTTGTGCAACCCAGAGGAAAACCATCCACTGTGGTATCTTCATAGAAGTTTGAGCATTTGGCTCTGTGGTGGCTCGGTGGCATCCATTGTCGGCAAGATGCAAGGGCCAGGCCTCGGCCGGGCTGGGCCGAGGGTTTATTTTTGGATGCTGCAATTCTCCAGAGCGCTTCTGGGATGCAGCGATGCCTTCGGTCACAGAGACCTGCTGAAGGGTTTCCTGCCGCGTCAAGGCTGGGGCGGGGGGACCTCTCTTCCCTTGGCCTTATTTTTTGGCCGCTTGGGCATCTTTTGTCAATCCCTGCTGATTGTAGCTCTCTCCACTTCTCACCCTGTTTGCAAGGAGCATGCTGCCCCTCCCTTTAGAAACCAGCCCTGCTTCCAGTTTGCCCCGAGAGCACCCAGGAGGGATCGGTCACGCTCTCCTTCGTAAACAGAGAGGAGCATTTCAGGCTGGAAGAAAGGGACCCGGTCAAGGGCAGACAATAATTCAGTGACGGAAAATGTCTTCCAGCATCCAGAGAGAGCCTGTGCTTTGTGCTAAAAGGAAGGAAAGGCCTCTGATACACCTTGGCAGGGCACTGCAAATGAACTGTGCCGCAGAACCTTCAGACTCTCACGCCCCTCCTGACTTGGTTGGTGAATGACGACTTCAGTGCAAGCTGTTACCCCTCCTTACGTCTGTATCGCCGTAACTGAGGCTTTGCCCTGGAATTGCGGCTATCTTACCACGTCTTAAATCAGCTTGTTGTCTGTTTTGTCACATCCCCTCTCAAGAACAGTTTACCTCTTCGAGGGTTATGAGGGATTGCAGCAGAAACTGCAAAAGGGGCAAAAGCTATTTTGGGCTGCATTTGCATTGCATTCACTTCCGAATCACACAAAGTGCTCGTCCCCTTTCACTTGGCGCTCTTTGGGCCGCATCTCAAGTCCTCTGGACGGTTCTGAGTACCTCGAGTGGAAGTTGCTCAGAGGAGGGCAACAGGGATGATCTGGGGACCAGAAACAAAGCCCAGAGAGGGGCTACTGGAAGAAGTGGTTATTTTTAACCATGAAAAGATAGAGAGGGAGGCATGATTGCGCTTTTCAAGTATTTGAAAGGATATCAGACAGAGGAGCTCCAGGATCTCAAATTATCCCAGTGTGCAGCACATGGAATAAGTTCCCGGAAGCCAGAATCTGGTTGAACATCCAGAAAAACCTGTTAGAGCAGAACGGCAACGGGACCAGTCACCTTGGGAGGTTGCGGACCCTTGCACAACAAAAGCTTTCAAAATGCAGCTTGTCAAGGACGCATTGGGTGGGGGGGGGGACCTGATGGCCTTCTGGCCCCTTCCAGCTCTCCTACTCTTAAGATTTTGTCAGATACCGCTCAAATTCACGTAACAGAGATCAAGCCTCACTTATCTCAGTAGGGCTTCTCAGGAAGCTGTTAGGATTGCTCTGTATCTATTCAACGGTAGCGTGCAGACAATAACTGCAGCAGCTAAAACCAGGGCAAAATTTGCTCGCAGCCATACGACTCCTTTCCCCGTGGTTTGAACTACTGCTGTGCTTTTCCCACCCAGCTGGGTTCCTTTCGTACCATTTAAATTTTAAGACTGTGTCGCACGTGCGTTTGCGGTTGGGTCACTCCCTGGCTGAATCGGCGTCTGCTATTTTGGTTTCTAGAAAGGGTGGCTTATGGAACATTTCCCTCACTCACAAGCCGATTGTCGAAGGCCACACCTGCATGGCGGAGACGTCTTCTCCCAGCCCCCTGCCCTGCTGGTCCATGACCAGGCCTGGATGCCTGCCATTCTGCAGACGATGCGTCTGACTGGCCGCTCTAAAGGTTTTATTTATTTATTAAAACATTTTTAAATATTAAAACATTTTAGATGTTTTATGCACGTCTAAAGCTGCCTTCCCTAACCTGGTGGCTTGCGGGTGTGTTGGACTGCAGGCCTCATCGTTCCCAGACCGCATGGCTGGGGGTGATGAGTTACATCTGGAGGGCACCAGGGCAGGGGAGGCTGCTTTAACCCATGAAAAGCCGCTTTGTGATGAAGGTGCTATGCTGGAGTTGCGCCTCCTAGGCTGGTCCCCGCGGATGTAGGAGGGGTGCAAGATCCCCCCCCACGGAGCTGACTGGTACCAAGCTGGAATGAAAAAGTAATTTCTATGGGGCAAATAAAGCTGCTCAAGGAGCGAGGAATTCCAGCAACTGGCTTCCCGCTCAAGCACCCCACGGAGGAACACCGGCCCGCGGACAAGCCACTGCTGCCACCTGCTGGAGCTCAAGGGCGGCCAGGTGTGGACCCCACCTGCCGAACGCCGTCCGAGCACAGTGCAGTCTTGGGAGAACTCCGTTCAGCCCTGCAGAAGCAGCCCACAGACCCTGTGCTGGCGCATCCCGACCCACGGCCTCCCGGACATCGTGGGGTATCCCAGACTGCTGCCAGGCAGAGGAAACCGTGGATTGGTCAGGGCAGAAGAAATACTCGCTTTGTTGTGCAGCTGGAATGTCTCCCTGCGCACAAGCCGTTCTTTCGAGGTGGAGAAGCGCAATGGGACTCTGCGAACAGGAGACCAGGGGGCTGACAGTCCTCAGATTTTTTTCTTTTTTTTGCAGTGAGGGTGTTCGAGGACAGGCTGGACGTGCACATGGTGGGCATGTCCTGAGCGGAGCCGGCTGGAGCCAGGGATCAGTCTAGATGGCCCGGGAGGCCCCTTCTGGCTCACGCGGTTTCTGTTTTGCAGAGCTGCCTGAACCCAAAAGGGCCACCCCAGAGAGCCGTGGACAGACAAAGGAAGGGCTCGTCATGCAGCACAGGCCAGCTATGGAATTCCTTCCCCAAAATACCATGACAACCCCCCATCCGAACGATGTTAAATGGGGCCAGACAAACTTATGGGGAAGGCTATCCGCGGCTACCACCTGATGGCTGTTAACTTCAGTATGTTTGCCCATGTTCCCCAGTTGCTGGGGAACATGGGTGGGAGACTGCTGCTGTGCTCATGCCCTGCTTGTGGATTTCCCATGATGAATTAGCTGGTCGGGCCCCGTGGTCTGAGGGCACCTCTTCCACAGGAGCAGAGAAATAAACGCCCAGGTGGAGCTGCAATGCAGCGGCCTGCCGGCTCCCAGTCGTCACACGGCGAGGCACTTCTAGGCCCGGAGCAGCTTTTGCACCTCTGAAGATGGCCGGGAGGTCCGGAAGGGGGGCTCTCGTCTGAAGATGCAGGAGCCAGGCCTGGCGAGCCGAGAGACACGCCGTTGCTGGGCAGGGAGCTCACATGCAGCCCAGGAGACTTCCATCCCCCTCGGCGAGGGGCAGCCGGAAGGAAGAGTCCCTGGCTTCAGTCCTGTCTGCTCTGCTCAGGGATGGTATGCTGTCCCCCTTCAAGCTAAGGCAGCTCTCGGCCGACGTGCGGCTTCTAGAAAGGGCGGCTGAACGTGTGGGGGTGAGAAAGGTAGGAAGCCAGGGATCAGTCGAGGAGGCCGCTCTCGACCTTCTGGGGCAAGTGCGAATGTTGACTTCTGCCTCCAAGACGCTCACGGGGCGCCCCGCTGGCCCACTTCAGGCGCAAGGAGAGCTCTCGCATCCCTGAAGCGGCACGCGCGCCGTGTGCTCAGCGCCCGAAGACCAGCATTTTTAGCCGCGCCCAAGAAGCTGCTTACGGCTTCAAAAGCCCAGTGAGCAATGCTGGGATCTGCAGCCCACCAGCGCTTTCCCCCACCTTGTTCTGCTCAAGCTGCTCAGATGTCTTTCTCTCGTCTTTCATCCTTGTTGAGAATGTTCTAATTCTGCTTGAGTACCAACAACAGGAGTTCGGTCAGCAATTTAACTGTCCTGGGGCTGTGTTATCCCTGCTCCCTTGCAGGCAGAAGATAGAAACAGAGTGAGCCAGAAGGGGCCTCCCGGGCCATCTAGTCTGACCCCCAGCTCTGCTCACGACATGCCCACCATGTGCATGTCCAGCCTGTCCTTGAAAACGCGCACCGATGGGGCCTCAACCACCTCCCGGGGAAGCCCATTCCACACCCTCGGGGTCCCGACTGTCCGGAAGTGCTTCCTGGCATCCAAATGGAACCTTGGCTCTGAGCTTTGCTCCATTGGAGCGCGTCCTGCCTTCCTCTGCAGGGAAAAAAAGGTCATGACCCACCTCTGTGTGACACCCCCTCACATACCTGCATGTTGCCAACAGATCCCCTCTGAGTCTCCTCTCCTCCAGGCTGAAGAGACCCGGTTCCCTCAGTCTCGCCTCATACGGCATCCCCTGCAAACCGGCCACCAACCTTGTGGCCCTGCGCTGCACTGACTCCAACCTGGCTATATCCTTCCTGTAATGAGGGGCCCAAAAGTGAGCACAATACTCCAGTTGTGGGCGCACCAGAGTCGCATAGAGTGGTAGTACCTCATGTTCATCCACCTTGAACCTTGGCTCCCTGAGTCTTGCTCCGTTGGAGCGCGTCCTGCCTTCCTCTGCAGGGGAGAACAGGTCCCTACCCACCTCCGTGTGAGCCCCCCCCCCACATACCTGTATGTCGCCTATTCTGGGACCACCTGGGTGTCATGCACAGTACAACTTGGGCTAACGTTCTGGAAAAAACAGAGATGCTCCCTGCTTGCACTTTGCCCTAGACAAACCGAGCCGTTTGCACAAGATAAGCTGACGATCAAGTTCCACCAGTATGAAAAAAAGGACAGACACACAAAGCCAAGGCCAGCCATGGTCCACTGTATTCTCCTTTTGCCCACGCAGAAGAATCACACACAGATTTATTCTCAAACTCTGGTTGGCAAACAAAAGACCAAGCTCCGACGTGCAACGAGACACATTTGCAGCAACGGGAGGCGAAAACCAGGCACTTGCTACAGGCCTGGCTCATGGTTACTCACAAGGCTACTGCAGTGAAGAACTTGCGATTCCTGGCCGCCCACAGCAAAGAGCAAACGCCAGCCCACGGGGATGCTCTGACGAGGGGCTAGCGGACGCTGGGAGGTCCGGCGATGGGAACGGGGCGCCCCTCTGCAGCCTGGCGTCGCGTTCTGGCCCAGAGGACTGCTCAGGCCCAGAGCAAGGCGAGAGACGGCGAGGCACCCCTCCCGGCTCCGAGGCCTGCTGATGTGCAGGCCGTGAGGGCCACGCGGTCTGCTCAGGTGAGGGGACACTTCGTACGCAGCTGCCTGGCATAATCCCACTCCAGCAGCACGCCCTTCCGCTTCCGGGCTGAACAGGAATTGTATTGCTAGGCCGAGTCGATCGTCGCTCCCTGCCAGACACGAGGCGGCTTCTACCTGCACGCGGGGCCCTGCATGCGGCCCTCCAAAGCGCCGCGCGGGACGGCTCCGTCCTTGGAGGAGGTGCCAGCGGGGAGACGTAAAAGCGACCGGCCTGGTTTCAAAGGCGTTTAGGGAGGGGAAGGGTGGAAAGGGGCAGCAGTGCCGTCTGAGCTACGCAGGGCATTGTATTGGGGGGCGGGCGGGAGAAGACGGAACAGGTAAGATTAGTTTGGGGCGAATGAGGGGTTCTGCAGCAGAACCAGTTCCCTAGGACTGAATTTGGCTATTAGGTCTCCACAGAAAGTAACCAGGGCAGAGCGACAAGATCACTCGGAGCCTTAGGAACCAGAGCTGGGCTAAAACTGACCTGGATCGTGGCCCCATTTGGAGGTCATGCGGGGAGAGGGAGACCGACTGGTCAAGAACAGTAACACTGCACAAGCAGCGTGGGGCAGCCTGGTGCCCCGCACCGCTCTTCCCGGGCATTTCCCTCAGCTCCGCTCAGGGAATTTGGAGGGAAAAATGGAGGCCGCCAGTTGGCAGTGTGGGGGAAGCTGCGCTTGCTAGAGAAGCAACAGCAGCAAAGGAAAACCCCGCGGGGAGAAGACGCTGCCCCTGCCAGCAATTGCTCCCCCTGAAGTCCAGTCCTGCCGGTCAGAATAATTCATGAGCTTGGGCCCTGCCCACTGCATTTCGAGGCAAGTTTGAAATGGCATCGCTTGGGCTCAGCCCTGTGAGGAGGAGGAAGGATGGCTTCTGGGCCGAGCCAACCGGGCCGCTGCTGCGCCAGGCAAAGGCCGCCATCGGAAAGCATCCCTGGAACAGTGCCCAGCTGGCATCCTGCCAGAAGCATCAACACGAGGAGGTATATCTCTAGGTACGAACACGTGCATAGCTGCGGAGGCCCCTCGCGTGGGGCTCCAAGTTAAGGCGTGGGATGGTGGCCCCACTGTTCTCCGATCAAACGGGACGGGCTCCTCGGAGAAGGCGCAACCCCCTTCTGGGGAACAAGGGGCGGAAGGCAGCGTCGCCTCCTCCCAGGGCATTAAGACAGACGTGGGAAATTGTGTGGCAAACGCGGGCCGGGAGCGACCCCCACACGTGGCAGGCAGCGATCCTCGCAGCCGGGCTGCCCCTGCGCAGAGCGGCTCAGGAGGCGCACAGCTCGGGAGGCAAACCTGCTTTCCAGAGGCAACAGGGCAGGTCTGCGGATCGCTCGCGCGCAGAAGGCTACGCTCCTTCCTGGGAGCGAAATGCGATGCGCGCCACTCCAAAAGAAGGGACCGCCGAGGGAGCCCGGCACACAGAGTGCGCCAAGAGGGTCAAACCCAAGGGTGCGGGAGAAGCTGATCGCTGGGCCCACGGACACGGGTATTGCTCAGTGAAGGGAGACAGCCGCCAACCCCTGCCCGACCCCAGACATTCAGCTGGGTTCAAACAGGGTGGGGCAGAATGTGAATTTAGCAAGTGGCGCTTGTCTGCACCCCACAGTAGCGCACGTCTCTCCCTTTAAGGGCGGGTCCTCCAAGCAGTCAAGCTGCTCAGCCTCCCGTCCCTTCCTGGGCAGGCCAAGCGCCCCCACTCGGACCCGCCCGGAGCGCCTGCTGCCGGGGGCTGTGCAGCGACCGAGCCCAGCGGACGGCGGTTTTGGGGGCTCCGTCACACGCAGGGCATGTAAACGTGTCCAGGGAATGTTCCCTCTTCTTCCCTATGCACGGCTCCAAGACACCTGGTCTCCCTGTTCCCAGGAGGCACCCAGTGATCACCCGGCAGAGCATGGCAAAGACAGCGGATATCTATTTCCAGGGATACATGAGAGAAGCATTCCGTTATTAAGAAACAGCGATCTGGAATCACATCATGCCGCCCTACTGGATTCCTGCTTGGCTGTGGAGACAGGCTCCCAGATCCGTGCGAGCACAAAGGTTTCACCAGGCCCTCAGGGACAAGACACAGCTGGGGAGGCAGGCAGGCGGGCGGGCGGGCAGGCAGGCAGGCGGGCGGGCGGGCACCCTCCTGGGAGGGAATGCAGGGAGGAGCACCCTCCCTTCAGAAGGGGGCAGGTGCGGCAGCGGCCAAGGAGTGGCAGCACTCACTGGCCTGAGTCGCTGAAGTAGGCGTTGGTCTCCAAGAGCAGCCCCTTGACGTAAACGCGCACGGTGTAGAAGAGCGTGAGGAAGTCCTGAGTGCTGAAGATGGTGTCAGCCAGGGCGAAGGCGAGGGTGGAGGGGATGAAGCCGCGGCCGTACTCCACCATCCACGTCCCAGCACTCCACTGGACGGAGGTCGCCTCTCCTGACCGGTGGACAATGGTGTCTCCTGCACAGACGGGAAGACGTCTCCGTTTAGCCACGTCCCTTTCCCCACACAGCCCTGAAGCTGCAAGGAAATCACTCACCTGGGTAATAGATCTCGCTCTTGGTTGTGCCTTCTTTCCACTGCCGGAAGGTTCCTGAAATGACTGTGTCATAGATATCAGCCCAGTACCTGCCTGTGAGGGAAGGAAAAGCATCAAAGCGCCGGAAGAAGCAAGGGCCTCGTGCCAGTGTCACCAAGGTTTGCTGCAATGATGCTACCTCCTCCTTCCTTCGGAGGCGAAGGCCATGCCAAAATGACAGCCTTGCTCACTGCTGTGGGATTAGGGGGCAAAAGGATCCCTGGGAAGAAATGGCAGGAGGACGGGATGTGCCAGGCGACGGAGTTTCCTCCCTTTCCTCGCTCAACAGGCTCCAGTAATTCCCATTTGGACTGGCCCTTCTGCAGGAGCACATCCTCGGAGGGAAAGGAAAGGGCACGGCACAAGAATGCAGGCTTGGTCAAGGGACAAACGCCTCGCCAGTTCAACTATTAATATCTATTCAGAATGATTAATCTGACATTCTGATCTATGCGCGCACCATCTAATAGCAATATAAAAAGGAAGGAGAAAGAAGAGGGCACTATAGTGGAACAGTAAAAATTGGTTACCCACACCGATTGAAGCCGATCAAAGCTATTCAAATCTGTTTCCGAGCTTCCATATTCGCACTTTGAATGTTGTTATGAGCTCGAGGTTGGCTCGTACGGAAACCAAGCCAATGAACAAAAGAACAAACGAGCCAGGGGGAGCCTCAGCGGGCGGGGGATACCCTGCGCAAAGAGGGCGCCTCTCCCACGACCGCCCGCCTGGGTGGATTCCGGGGCCGCGGCGGGGGGGCGATGCGGGCCGCAGGGCAGCACGCCGCGCGACTCACCCGAGTGCCCGCCCGTGTCCACGGCCGTGCCGAAGAGCAGCACGTACTCGGAGAGCGAGGCGTGCAGCAGGCACATGGAGCCCATCCAGCCGCCCGCGTTGACGAAGATCCACTGCAGGTCCTCGTCCGGCAGCACGTGGCCCGGGTGCCTCTTGCGCAGCTCCACGATGATCTTGGAGAAGGCCAGCTCGTGGTCCAGGCCTGCGCGGGAGGAGGGAGGGGGGGTCAGGGCCGGGCCCACGGCGGGAGGCGTCTCCCCGCGCTCCTGCTCCTGCGGCGGAGGCCCGGCCGGCGCCGCCCGCGCACGCGGCCTCCCGGGAGCGCCTCCCGGCCCCGGGCCAGCCAGCCAGCCAGCGCCCCGCCGCCCGCCCGCCGCCCCCGCCCGCGCCGGGCTGGGCCCCGGGCTGGCCTTCT